GAACATCACCACCGAGGCGTCAGGGTCATCGACAACCAATTTTCGTCCGGCGGGATCACCGGGAGTCGACTTGCGTTTTTTCTTCGACGGCTCGTCCTTTTGAACGGCGCTGCCCTTCCCTTTGTCAGCTGCCGAACGCTTACGGCTCGGGTCATGCTTCTGTACAACCGAAGTCGGCGGCCTCGACGACTTCAGAAAGGCAAGGATTGCGGAGTTTGAAGGAGTTTTACTCGCCGCCGAGTCATCTTTGGACGCCTCGGGGATAATCTCGCCCGGTTCCAGCTCGGGCGCTGCTCCATCTTTGCCCGCCTCGGTAACGATTGCATCCGCAGCTCGGACCGTTTCGCCTTCTTCCCGGCTCGGCTGATCGGACTGAGGGACGGCCTCGGTCTGCGTTTGAGCCGCCTCGGCAGCTCGTCTCGCGGCCTCTTCTTCCTCGCGCCTCTTCCTGTCTCTGAGAGTGATTATCACCATCTTCTCTTGGGTATCTCTTGAAGAACTGGAGGACGAAGAACTGACGGGGACTCCGACAAGGATGGATCGCGCTTTTTCTACTCTTTCGAGGGTAAAATTCTTCCTCCAATTAACCTTTCGCGCTTAAAGAGAGTCTCGAACAGTAAAGAGGTCGTCAGGAATCGGGGGAAGAAAGCTCCAAACTGCAAAACAAAGCAAAAAAGAAAGGAAAAATTCAGTAAGGGAAGAGGATACCAAAAATCAGTTCCGAGCCAAGGCAAAGCTTCGGGTCGGCTACCAAGTGATCCCCAAGCGGTCTTGGTTCTTTGAACGTAATCCTCGCCGACCGAAGCCTCGTTCACCAAGACGTAGAAGAAACGTAATCCGTCGCTTCCCCTTGTTGGAAATATAGAATCTATTTCCTTTCGGAACTTTCCTGATTTCCAGCAAGTTCAGCAGGTGATTCAGCTCGATATCAAGCCCGCATTCAAAGCTTCGAACTAAGATGCCGATCATATGCCGTAATCCCCTCGGCATGATTTTCCCAATCGAGATCCCGTGTTTCTAGAGGTATTCGAGAATCACTCCGGGGATCGGGAACCAGAGAAAGCAAAGCTCGAAGAATGCCTCGTACAGAGTGAAGTGATTCTCTGGAGGCTTGTCGGCTCGGTCGTTATTCTCTGGAACGACAAACTCCACCGCCTCGGATATCCCGAAGCGATGCCTCAACGACTCGAGCGATTCAAGGGAGCAAAGCGTAGAGCCAGGCGGGTAAGGCTTTTGTCTCTTAACTCGTGGCCCTCGCCCTGATGTGGAAGCGCCTCGGGACGCCATGAGACGTTCCAACTCACGCTTCACCTCAAATAGGTCAAAGGGAAATGCCTCCTCCTCGGCTTTGAGTGCGGCGCGATCAATATCTTCATCAGGAACGGGATCCTGGGGACGGCTCGTCGAAACCGACGGCTCGTCCTCTAGAGAGCCGACATCTGACGGGTTTGCATGATTTGACGCCTCGTCAGATGAACGATTGGAAGGGGTCGGTGAAACAGACGCCTCGGAGGATTCTGCTGTACCTCTCGCCTCGACATCTATGCGGCTCGGCTCGTAATGAAAGAGTGAATCCAGCGAATCGTCGGAGCGGCTCGACATAATTTACAACTTATACAGGAATTACAGCACGACTCGGCGAACCTCCGCCGGAAAAAGATCTGGAACGGCGGAGACCTCCGAACTCTTAGCCGGAAAATAAATAAACTAAAGAGAGAAAGAAGAGAGAAGGGAGAGCTACCTTTAGTGAAAACGAGTGAGTCTGAAGATAATGAGAAAGAATGAAGGAGCTCGTCTATATATAGGAAAACCGAAGCGCGTGAATTCCGTGTGAACCTCGGGAAACCGTCCAACAGCGCGTGGGATCCGCGGTGAATTAGCTGGCTCGAACTGCGTCGGTTGCACGCGCCAATAGATCAGGAATTTTCTTTCGGAAGACCAACGGTTGGGATATCCGAGCTTTCAGCCGACATCTTACCTTAGTAACGCCTCGTCGTTAACGAAACGGCTCGGTATTAACTCTCTCTTAACACGCCTCGTCGTTAACAAAACGGTTCGGCATTAACTCTCTCTTAACACGCCTCGTCATTAACAAAACGGCTCGGCATTAACTCTCTCTTGAAACGCCTCGTCGTTAATGAAACGGCTCGGCATTAACTCTCTCTTGAAACGCCTCGTCGTTAAAGAAACGGCTCGGCATTAACTCTCTCTTGAAACGCCTCGTCGTTAACGAAACGGCTCGGCACTAACTCTCTCTTGAAACGCCTCGTCGTTAACTCGGCTCGGCATAACCTTCTTAAATCGCTTCGTCACGGCTCGCCAATACTAATCGCCTCGCCCTTAACACCTCGGCGTCCTCAGCACCCTCTTGAAACGCCTCGGCATCCTGGGCATCCTTTGGGAACGCCTCGGCATCCATATTCCCGAAACACCTCGCCTAGGCTTAAGTAGAAACAGCTTGACTCGATGGTTTATCCTACAGCCAGGAGTAATAGACCTCGTCATTCTCGCCTCCGAAACTGACGAGCTGGGGGGCTAACTGTTGGGGTCGGTTTTCACCCCAAGCAGATAAAACCATCTCAGAATGACTAAGTATAGAAGAAAGACAAAGTAGACGAGCCGTCCACCAAACAGGGGCCGAGCCGTGCTCACCAAGACAAGTGGGAGAGCCGTGGTCACCAAGACAAGTGGGAGAGCCGTGGTCACCAAGACCAATAGGGAGAGCCGTGAAGAAAGATAGATGGGCCGAGCCGTATCATGAGAAATGGGCCGAGCCGCACTTCAACATGCTTGGGCCGAGCCGCGCCTCGGTGAGGTGGACCAAATCACGTCTCAACTCAAATGGCAAGCGGGCAGAGCCGTGGTGAAGTTCAGATGGCCGAACCAAGGCTTTGAGAGACGAAGCCCATAGAAACCCTAGGCGAAATACAAAGGCGGTGAGCCGCACGAGGCGATAAGGAAATATTCCGAAAATCTCTTCCGAGATTCTCGGCTAGGCGGTTCAGAGAATTAGTATAAATAGACGATGTATACAATTCATTCTGTAACTTTGGCAACCCTAAGCAATAAAGACTAAACACTTTCGCAGCAAGAAAAACTTTTTTTTCGATCTTACCGTTCTTGACGATAAACCCTAGAAGTTTCTGATCCCTTAGTTTTCTTAAACAAATTTTTGGTTGTGCAAGTTTTGGCTCACACACAAAGTCAATATACAAAAATTATATATATATGCGCATGCCTATATAACATAAGAAGTGAATTTGACGATATTTTACAAAAGAAAGTCTTATTCGCTAACGGATGATTAAGTCCATTATTCTTGTATGTATTTTTTTTTTCTGATATTAATTGTGTGTTTAGCTAACAATTTTTGGCTAAACCTCGTAATTACACACTACCTTGTAATTACACAAAACATGATAAAACTCAATGCTTACAGTATTAAGTTTTGTTTCTATAATTGAATACCAAAACTTCTGTATCCAAATCCTTCCATGTTTAGCTTTGACTAGCCATACATACAGACTGGATACATATGCATATCTTGCTGAAACCCTCCATTTAGTTAGATTAAAAATGCACATAAACATCGATGATCCCCGTTATACTATAAATATCTTCACAAAGATATGATCCTCAAGATATATACTGTAATACTGTATGTTCTTCCTGAGTATCCTCTATTGATAACATGCAACACCAACATCCATGTGTCTCTTTCACTAGATCCATATGGATTATACAATCTTCAAATTGAAGGTTATTCATTTCTTCAGCAATTCCAAGAGTAATATTAAGCAATATCTTTAAAAAAAATTCTACCATAACTAATAAAAGGATGAAACTTCGATATAAATATCGCCAAACAATTTTGGGCGGAGAAATCCCCAAAATAAATAATAACACACCATCCCAATCCCATTGAAATGATGATGAAGTAAATCCTCGGACATGAGTTATTCTTACTGTAGATACGGTCAAAAAGATGATAATTCCAATGAAAATCACTCTTTTTTGCCGAGACAAAACTCTCCAAAAGTGGTGAGACAAAAACCATCATTGATAACCAACGAGTTGTCATGGCCACTGAGAATTGTCCGCGGAACAAGATATGGTGGAGACAAAGGTAAAACGATGGACAAATCCGATATAAATCTATGCAAAAGAAAAGAAGAAAGAAAATCTAAAGGAAGAAAAGGGCCAAAGGGAAGCCAGCGCCTATCAAGGACCGATGATTAATTAACAGCAACTGTGAGGATCAGCGAAAGTTAATTCCTACGGAGAAGAATACGAAATTCTCACCAAAGTCTCGTGCCTTTTCACTCCACCCTCTCCAAAGTACTGCAGTTTTTGTTAAAAAAAAACATAAATTAAAGTTAAGAGAAAAAAGGAAAAAGAAGGAGTACGGCCGACGCGGGCGGGAGTCGACACTGGTCGGTGCAAGATTAAGAGAACGAATTAAAGGTTGAAAAAAAAAAAAAAAAAAAGGTTGAAGAAGATCGCTTTATTTGACAAAAGTTGTTTTCTCCTGGAGTGTTGTGTAACTAGTTGATTCCTCTTCTCTGTTATCAATAGTTCAGCCGGCTTCAATAATCTTCTTCTCCGTGAATCAACTAATGTGTTGTAAGTATATATACAACCTTCTTTCACCATCTTATCTCTGCAAGCAAAAGCTGTCTCCAAACCCCCTTTGTTACTACAATCAAGTAGGAAACAGACTATGGAACCAAACTCAGAGACAGATTGGGTTGTAGAGTCTCCAAATCTGGTTGATAAACCATACGAAAACCCTCAGCGATTCGTGCTCTCAAGATTCGTGAACCAGAGTGTTTGTAAGTGACAATTAACGTTAGGCTTAATTCAGAAACTCTCCATGATTCCCTTGCCTATGTTCCATTTCCCTTTTTTGCAGAATACGTTGCTCATCATAATGTTACAGTTTCACACATACACATTGGTTGATGACTTGATGTTCACGTCTCAAAATTTAGATGACTTGATGAGGCAGATGAATTTTATATAGAATAAGAATCATATGAAATCAGACAACCAAGATGAATATTCATGATTGTAAATCCTTACAAAAGACTACACAGACACAACAAAAAAGAGTTTTAGAGAACGTGACTAGGTTGATAAGGGATCACCAATGCTACTAGCTAGAGTCATCATCAACCCAGAAACAAACTTCTAATTTCACTGACACTCATGATTGTAAACACACAGAACAAAGAAATAGGATAAGAGAATTGACTCAAGTTTTCAAGACTTTTAACAACACGGACTCACATGATGGTGCATCGGCCCTTTTCTTCATTTTGTTGCGTCGGCATTTGCTGGAACCGGTGCGATTCTGAAGGATTGTAAGTGAACTCAGATGTGTCAAGCCCATACTGTTTCAACAAAAACCATCAGTGAATCACGGTATCTTGATACTTCTTATTTCAGAGTCTTTGAAAACGTTTTAAACTTGTTACCTTTTCCCTCATGCGTGCACTCCAAGGGTCACTACGGCTCGGGCGTTGGTCCAAAGTAGGAGCAACTGGGACACCGGTGACAGGGGCGGCTTGGCGGTTGATGAACGGCTGCCTGATTTGTTGCCTTGGAGCAATAATCTCATCATCACTGTCATACTCTGCTGGTGAATTAGCTGCCCTAACCATAAGGGCAAGCAAGAAAAGCAAAGCCTGCGAGTAAACAAGACAGCATTAAGAGTGTGACGATGTTTCTATTGCCGTATTCTGCTTCGTTCTTTTGAGTAGTATTCTAGTGTAAAGACACCATACGACAGTCTACAAGCACCTTCCTAGGAATATTTCACATTTTAAAATAGTTTGAATACAAGTTTAGTTCATCAATGTTTAGCCTTGATTTCTACAACTGACAAAATGAAGAGAGAAGAAATGATGAAAAGTTCTGAAAGTTTGCTTCCGCTTTACCTCAAAAACAACTGCTCCTAGAGCAACCCATCTTACAATTTTCCAGTTCTCTCTCAGGAAATTATATATCGTATCGAAGTTTCCAGTCCTGTCAGAAGGAATTTCCTAGAGAACAGTTATACGAAATGGTTAGATAAGTACGTGTACAATCCTGTCTCCAGATCATGCCAAGTTATAAGGCAACAGAAATTTTAGCCCAAGAGGAAAACACACACAGAAAGATAACTCACATCTCTCCAGCTGTGGTCGAAGAATATAAAAGCTGCAGCTCCAAGCTCCGCCAAGATCAACAAGATCAGAAGCAAAGAGTACTATTCTCAATTAAGGAAATAAAAGGTCAAGACTTTTAGCTTTCTCAAGGATCAAAATCATAACAAGCAAAGATACCAATAACCTGACGCGTATAACTGGTGTTCAATGCGTGACAGCTTAAAATAGAAGAAGGTTGAGACAGCTTATGATAGATTCACAAGTATTTATCTAAAATCAAAATGTTCGATAAGAAAATCAAGTTCAGCGATAAGGATACACAAGATAAGCAGCAGACGCTCCTTGAGCAAGTACCAACACAGCCACAGCACGAGATAACAAACAGAGCCACGCCGATACCAATGAACAAGTATATGAACCTGCATTTTACGTGATAAAAACAAAACCAGAGACAGATAAACATAAGAAGCAAAGAAGGGAAACAAACCAAGATTTTCTTTAGGACCCAATTTACTAACTTGTAAAAGACAGTAAAGCAGGAGGGACAAACATACCAAGCTTTTGGAAGATTGTCAAACACATTCGAAGACAGTGCCACAGCCATAAGCATGGGCCTCCCCAGCGAGACGTAACTTTGGTCGCCATTTACAGGATTGAATGTAACAGAGTTATCGGTTGCTCTCTTGTACTCCACGAATAAGTAGATACCATAACCAATCATGCCAAGGCCAGCAACAGCCAGCAGAAAATTGAGTAACTTGAGCAAACACTCCAAACAACCTCTACAAGCCATTTTTTGTTTTTCTTCGACTCAACTGCTGTAAGTTTTACTCAGATTTTCCCTTAGTTCATGCGTCCAAAGAATTATCCTGAAATAATAAACCACACTCACGATCAAAAACTCAATTCAGTGAGTTCGTAATGACAATGAAATATCAGTACACAGGTAACTTCTCTACAGAATATTCATCAAAACTAACTCCTCGTTGATTTTGTAACCTAGAAATGTTATTAAATTCAAAATTCGTGAGCCCAAATCCAATCGAGTATACACCAATCAACCATCGCAAACAGCTGAAATTGAGAGGTACAATCAATTCTTCCCTAATCGACATAGAAAGTAGAAACCACAAAAACAAACACAAAAATCACAAAATTGCAGCCGAGAAATGATTCCGCGAAGCATTTCTCGAAAACTAAAAATCTGCGTAGTTTAGATCGGGACAAGGAAATGAATCGGTGAATCAAGACTACGCGATCGAAGTAAGAGATAAGAGAGGGGAAGAAGATGATGGGAAACTTACGGAGAATTCGATTGAGATGATTCTTCGATCTTTGCGCAGAGGTCTCGATGATGGTGTTTTAACTTTATGTTTCTTGACGTTCGAGAGAAGAAGGGGAGCAAAATGGAAGGAATTGGAAAAAAAAATTTGGATACCTTTTGTTTGGATTTTTTTGCTGTATGTCATCGGCTTTTGGTAATGCCAGCTGGCGTTTTTTTTTTTTTTTTTGAAAATACACTATCCAAGATATAAGGCCTTTTAGTTACTTTCAGGAGCCCAACTATACGTCTACGTGTCGTTGAGTAATAAAAATAGACAATATTTATGTATCAGTCAGTCGGTCGGCAAACAAAATTAGTTTTCTGTGGAAGGGAATGTATGTCTTAAAGACTCCAAGACAAAAATGTTAGATTTACTGTAAATTAAAAAGATATCCAAATTTGTATTGTGTGTGGACATCATTCAAATTCTACTAATAAATGTTAATATTAAAAAAAATTGCAAGATTCTCTCTATCTAATCTCATATTTCCTATGTCAACCAAAACTTTCAAAGTAAATAAATTTTGATTTTCTATTCAATGTTACCAATATGAAAGATCAAATGCTCTTATGAATATTGGATTCTGAAAATTTGTGTTTATTCCATTAATCATTAAAGTTTTATATAATTGTTTACAACACTAGAATCCGAAACTTAAGCCTCAAGATTATGCTAACATACTTGACTCCAACTAGACCGTAATAGTCTGTTTTATTACTAACTTTCTAAACAAATACAAAACTCATTCAACTAGACTTCAACGGCTCTTTATTCAAATGAGAATTTGCTCCAACAAACCCTCCCTAAACTAAGCTTGGTTCATCAAGCTTAGCTTATCTTCAGCTGAGCAAATTCCAAGTTTGTTTCTCAGATCTTCAAACACCTCTTAACTCAATGTCTTAGTGAAAATTTCTGCAACTTGTCCTCGTGATTCACAGTGCTCAAGACTTATTTCACCTTTTTTTACCAAATCACGCAAGAAATGAAAATGAACTCCTATATGCTTGCATCTCTCATGAAAGACTGGATTCTTAGACAGCTTGATAGTTGAAGTATTGTTACACAGAATGACAGTGCTTCCTGCAATATCATATCCTAGCTCCTTCAGAATCCGTTTGAACCATATAGCTTGACACGCACATACCACGCAGCCACATACTCTGCCTCGGTGGTAGATAGTGTGACTATGTGCTATTTCTTTGATAGCCATGCCACTGCAGCACCGTCCATAAGAAATACATAGCCTGATGTACTCTTCCTGCTTTCAACATCTCCAGCGAAGTCACTATCAGTATGGACCAAAACATTTTCATTCCCTTCTCTTTATACCAAACCCCAAAATCTATCGTTCCTTTTAAGTATCTCAGCATTCTTTTAGCTGCTTGCAAATGAAGTTGAGTTGGTTTAGCCATATACCAACTCAAAAGACTTATAGAGAATTGCAGATAAGGTCTGGTCATAGTAATGTACATGAGGCTTCCTATTATCCATTTGTAGAATGTCTCATCCACTCTTTCTCCTTCTTCATCCATGTCAAGCTTACTTCTAGACACCATGGGATTATGAACTGAATTGCAACTCTCCATATTAAAGCGCTTCAGAACTTCAAGTGCATATTTCCCTTGAGAGATGTGAATCCTGTGTGGTGTCTGCAGTACTTCTATTCCCAAGAAGTATCTCATCTTGCCTAGATCAGTCATATCAAATTCTTTTTGCATTGACTGTTTGAACTCCATCATCATCAAATCATTGTCTCCAGTGTAGATTAAATCATCCACATAAATACTCACCAGTAAGATGTTTCCGTGTCTGTTTGTATTGATGAACAGAGTTTCCTCATTTTGAGACATCATGAAACCTTCCTTGCCAAAATATTCTTCTATTCGACTGAACCAGACTCTGGGGGCTTGCTTTAAGCCATATAGAGCTTTGTGAAGCTTATATACTTTATCTTCTTCTCCATTGACTTCATAACCTTCTGGTTGGTGTATGTAGATCCTCAAGTACTCCATGTAAAAATGCTGATTTAACATCTAGCTGGTAGATAATCCACCCTTTGTGTGCTGTGGTTGCCAAAATGGTTATGATGGTGTCCATTATGGCCACTGGTGCATAGACTTCTGTATAGTTGATGCCCTGCTCTTGTGAATACCCCTTTGCTACTAAGCAGGCTTTGTATTTGCTGACTTCTCCATGCTCGTTAAGCTTTGTCTTGTAAATCCATTTCACACCGATGCACTTTGTTCCTCTTGGAAGATCTGTAAGCTTCCAAGTTTGATTTCTTTCAATGGACTTTATCTCTTCTTTCATTGCTTCCCTCCATTTCAAGCTCTTTTCTGCTTCTTCAAAAGTGCAAGGATCCGCGGAATTTAACTCCACCATATTGACCTCTGCTTCTTCTTCTTCGATATCATCTCCAGTATAATAGTCATTCAGATACCGAGGAGGTCGTATAGTTCTTCCCTCCCTGACTTCAGTCTGAACTCCTTCTGCAGTTTCTGCTGCTTGTTCATTCTCTGCAGGTTGCTCATTTGCCATTGGTTCTTCTGTTTCATTGTCTGTGTCCGCTTGATCACTTGCTTCTCCTTCACTTTGCTCCCATGTCTGATCATCATTCTATGTGAGATCAGAATCTGTCTGCTCGTGAGACTCCTAGTCCCAGTGATATAAGATCGGGTGTAGTGTGAGTTGGATCCTTGTAGCTGGCCTCAAGGCTCTCTCTACTCGGACACGAGATGAATGAAGTGTGGGGAAGATGGTGACTTAAACAACTGGCCTCAAGGCTCTCTTTGTTTAAGTCCAATGAACAAACTCGGGGATGATAATAACCGGTGGATCGAAGGACGCCACAAAACTTATGATCTAGCTTTGATAAGTCGGAAAAACACAAGGACAAGGGACAGCCGCACAAGTCTTTGTAGCTCTAGGGTTTTGCTAAAGAAAATGCTCTCTTTATTGATAATAGGTAAAACGTGAGGCTACAAAGCTGCATATGGGACTTTATAAATAGTCCGTCAGCTGTGACCTTCTAGGGTCAACAAATCAAAAAAATGAAAGCTCAAAACGCAACAGACTCTGTAAAAAGTAAAGAGAACAATTCGATAACCCTAAGAACAATCTAAAAAGGAAAATTAACTAAAGAACCTAACGATAAAACCTGCAAAACAAGAAAAGGAAACTTTGTTAATGAATTCAAATTTAAAGACTCACATTGCTTTAGAGGTGGTTCGAAGAGGGGTTGTCTATGTCTTGGACTTGAGAAATGACGAGCAATGTTGGGCCAAGGTAGGTCTTTAGCAGCGGCCACGTTTCCTCGTCTAAACTTGGGCTTGGTGCCTTCACGTCCACGGCATATTATTCTTGGCTTGTAATCTTGAGTTGCTCCATTGTCTTGGTGAGTTCTTTATGTCCTTCTTGCATCATTAGAGCCTCCACAGCTTCATTGAACCCTTCCCTCATGTTTCTCGTGCCTGACCTAGTCCTTGGTGGCTCGTACATGGTAGGAATCTTCAAGTCTTGGGGTTGCTCCGAGCTAGTGTCCTCATCATTCCCTCCCGCTTGAGAAGGTTCTGACCTCAGAACTTGTTCATCTGCGTGGAAGGGAGCTAAGTCAGATATATTGAAACTAGAAGAGATATTAAACTCACCTGGTAACTCTAGGCGGTAAGCGTTGTTATTGATACGCTCGAGCACTTTGAATGGTCCATCTCCTCGCGATGAAAGCTTGGATTTGCGTTGGTTAGGGAACCTCTCCGGCCGCATGTGAAGTCAAACCCAATCTCCTGGCTTGAAGGTGAGCTCTTTGCGTCCCTTATCTGCTTGTTTCTTGTATTGTTCAGTCTTTTTCTCAATGTTTTCTTTGACCTTTTGATGCAGCTTCCGAACTGTCTCCGCTTTGCTTTCTCCATCTTGATTAGCATACTCCCGTGGTGGTAGTGGTGAAAGATCTAGAGGAGTGAGTGGCTTAAAGCCATATGCAACTTCAAATGGACAAAACTTGGTAGCCGAGTGAGTAGCACGGTTATAAGAGAACTCAATAAAGGGAAGACACTCTAACCAGTTCTTTAAATTTTTACCAACCATGGCCCTTAAGAGGGTGGAGAGAGTTCGATTGACAACCTCAGTTTGCCCATCCGTCTGAGGATGGCAAGTCGTTGAGAAGAGTAGCTTGGTCCCGAGCTTTCTCCACAATGTCCTCCAAAAGTGGCTTAAAAACTTGGTATCACGATCAGATACTATAGACCTTGGTAACCCATGTAAGCGTACCACCTCCTTGAAGAACAAGTCAGCGGTTTGGGAAGCATCATTTGTCTTTGAACATGGAATGAAATGCGCCATTTTTGAGAACCGGTCCACCACTACAAATATGGAGTCCTTGTTTCGGATCTTCGGAAAACCTAAAACAAAATCCATAGAAAGATCTACCCAAGGTAGGTTAGGAATAGTTAAGGGTGTGTAAAGACCGTAGGGATGTGACCTGGATTTGGATTTGAGGCAAGTGACGCATTTGGAGCATAACCTCTCGACGTCTCTCTTGAGGTGGGGCCAAAAGAAATGCTCCACAAGTATGCTCAGTGTCTTGTCTACCCCAAAGTGGCCCATGAGACCCCCTCCATGTGATTCTCGGATCAGCAGCTCCCTCATTGATCCTTGGGGTATGCACAAGCGCTTATCTCTGAACAAGAACCCTTCGTGCTGATGAAAAGATCCCACTACGGCTTCGGCACTGGCTTGGTAAACCTCTCCAAAGTCGGGATCTCCTTCGTATTGTTCCTTGATATGCTCAAACCCCATCACCTTGGCCTCCAGGGTGGTGATAAGCGCATATCGCCTTGAGAGTGCATCGGCTACTATATTCTCTTTCCCCTTTTTGTACTTGATTATGTAGGGAAAAGTCTCGATGTACTCTAGCCATCTCGCGTGCCTCCTCTTGAGTGATGTTTGCCCCCTTAGATGCTTAAGTGTCTCATGATCGGTGTGAATGACAAATTCCTTGGCTAACAAGTAGTGTTGCCAAGTTTCCATGGATCTCACAAGGGCATACAATTCTTTGTCATAGGTAGGGTAGTTTAGTGTAGCTCCGTGTAGCTTCTCACTGAAATAAGCCACCGGTCGCCCACCTTGAG